CCTACCTACCTATCTGGGAGGGCAGCGGGGGACTATCACAAAAGAAAGCGCGCCGCGAAGGAGCGGTTCGGGCTGTCGAAAGAGGACGCGACAGCTCGTTAATTTCGAGGCGACGGCTGCTGCCACCGGGGGCGGTGGAGCGTCTGCGAAGTGGGCGAAGGACGATTGGCGCGAGCTTGGCGCGGAAGCGCCCGCCGCAGGAAAGAATTTTGCAAGGCCCACTTTCGAAAGTGGCCGCGCGGAAGTGCCCAGAAAGAAGAGAAACGCGCCACTCCCGCAAGAAAGGGTTGTATGTATAAATGAAAATACATGCGGATAAATTTTCGTGCTAGAATTCTTTTGGCCTCGCGATGTCCACCCCCCGCGTTTAGTTTTTTCTCAGACCACGTGCCTCTGGACCGCCGTTCTTGAAAAAGTGGGTGGGTGGGTAAACGCTTCGTAGGCCCCGGATGGTGAGTGGGTGGGTGGGTGGGTGGTGGGTGGGTGGTGGGTGGGGGTGGGTGGGTGGGTGGGTGGGTTGGGGTGGTTTGGTCGTTTCTCTCTCCCCTTCGCGCGCGTCTTCGAGGCACAGCTCTCGTCGTTGCCACAGCATGTCCTTCCTCGCACCGTGCCCACGCGGCGGCACCAGCTGACCGAGATCGCGCTCCCTTGACGGCTGCCGCGTGCCTTACGGCATACGGGGACGGCTTACGGCGCGCTCAACAAGTCATCCGAGGGCGGACTGCTGTTACGCTCGACGAGTGCGACGCCGCTCCAGCAGCTCGAGGGGTTCAAACGCGAGGCGACCATCGTCTCCGCCGAGCTCGACGACGAGGCGGCCGTTATTATCTCCTGTCCTCGGCGCTCGGGAGGGCGGCGGCGGCCCGGTGCAGAGTCGGAGGCGCGCTCCCGATGACAAATATTCGCCTCACAGTCAAACACGGCTGCTCACACGCCCAGCCGTGCTCTGGTGCGTCGCGGGGCGCACTCTTCGACTTGGGCTATTATCTGCCCTCGGGTGTCGGGAGGGCGGCGGCGGCGGTGTAGGGGCGGCGGCGAGCTCCTGGTGGCAAATACTCGCCTCACAGTCCAAGATGGCGGCTCGCGCCCCCGGCCGTGCTCTGGCGTGCCTCTCTAGTCCCGCCTGCCACCCAGATACCGAGGGCGGCGCGCACTCTTCGACTTGGGCTATTATCTGGCCTCGGGAGGGCGGCGGCGGTGGTGTAAGCGCGGCGGCGAGCTCCCGGCTGCAAATACTCGCCTCACAGTCCAAGATGGCGGCTCGCGCCCCTGGCCGTGCTCTGGCGTGCCTCTCTAGTCCCGCCTGCCACCCAGATACCGAGGGAAGGGCGCACTCTTCGACTTGGGCTATTATCTGGCCTCGGGAGGGCGGCGGCGGCGGTGTAGGGGCGGCGGCGAGCTCCCGGTGGCAAATGCTCGCCTCACAGTCCAAGATGGCGGCTCACACGCCCAACCATGCTCTGGCGCGTCGATTGGGTCGCGTCTGCTGCCCGTGTCTCTGTCTTATCGGCACGACGACAACAAGCTACCCCTACCCCTACCCCTACCCCTACCCCTACCCCTACCCCTAACCCTAACCCTGACCGTAGCCTGACCGTCCTTGGAACCGA